CGTAACAGCGGTAATTCGGTAGCAGAAGTCACGCGACGTTGGGACCATGCGCGCTGGAATTTCTTGAAGGATCATTAATTTTCCTAGCAACTCTATTTTGTTCCAAACGCCATCTTTTTTAGCATATAAGCCCGTCAAATAAAGCCAGCGATAGATATTCAGATTGATTGAAGATATAGATAATTGAGGCTAGAGAACAGTAGACACCGTTAGTGATGTGTGAATCACAGTGATTGTTAGCGTGTGTTATAAAAGTTAAGTTTAAAGTAACTGTGGAAATTCTGTGTATTACAAAAAGTTGTATGAAGAAAGAATAAACTAGTTTTAATTAAGAAAGGACTTGTATCGCTGAAGTTCCTCGAAAGTAATTTGTATTAAAAGATATAAAGAATTTATATTAAAGAAAAACTTTGTATTTATTAATGACAATTGAGTGTATTATTAATCACTAGATAGCGCTAAGGATTGTGTTTGTAAGGTTTCGAAGTGTATTAATAAAGAGTGTAAATAAACTTACGAATCTTAAATTTTTCACCAGTATTGTTGAAAGTTACCAATAAAATAAGGTATTTCATATTCTAAGTTGTAATTTCAGAGTTTGTGTTCAATTTCCAAAGTGTTATTATTAAACATTAGTTACGAACTTAGGGTATAATATTAATAATAATATGCAACCACACCACTGCCACCAGCCAAGTGTACACTAACTTACTAAGTTCTAACAGAAACACTAACAGTTTAAGTCTAAAACTAAATACAGTGAAAGTTAAAACTTTTATTTATTAATATAAGTAAATCATCAGTAAATGAATGAAGTACTAAGATAGGGTTTTTACATTTTAATTTTGATTAAAAAAAAACATCCTTTCATAGGACTGGACTGAAAAACTAGCCCTTTCTAAGTTTCTTGTACAATTGACAATATGTTTAACAACAAATTCACATATTCAAATTTATTGCTGTGGTTTTTAATGTTTGAAATGAAATCAAACAACTTAAGCTCGTATTTAAGGTATTGGTATGTTTGTTCGATATTATGACAGCAGACATCAAAAATATTTGAAAGAATCACCTCAGGTTAATGTTCAAATTCTGGAATATATTATAAACCAAATTGATTTATCTAAACCATTCATCAACAGTCCTCGCACTTTGTCTAATATCTGTCTTCCAAGGCCCACAGTAAAGGCAGTCATGATATTTGGTTAGTATATTCACATGATGTACCAAAACAAATAAAGTGCATAAAACTATAGTTAGTCAAAACTTTAAGTCAAAAATAGTTTTGAAGAAAATTAAGTCACAGATTACTGAAAATACAGCTATCTGTGGTACTAAAAATATTAAAATCACTACTCTTTGGCAGAGTTCCCCCATTTCATAATAACATATTTAGTGAGTGACTCCCCACAGGGTAGGTATGCTTTTTTTTTATGATGTGACACTTATCATTGTATAATAACAATGGTAATTTCCAAATACTAAAAAGAGTACCTAGATGAAATTTTTGGTCGAATGGATGGCAACTGCCTGTTGTAGAAACACAAGTATAGAGGATGACATTTCGAAAGTCTTCTGCCTTTCATCTTCAGGGTACCGTGTGTATGGTCTTGTCTGTCTTTATATTATTCTGGTGGATTGTGGAGGTCCTTTCCTCATGTGTAGCAGCCCTTCTTTCCCAGTCAGCCTGTTCTTCATCTATAATGGTTTATCAGAGAAAGTGGTGCATTTTCCATCATTGATCTCTGTACCATGGTTACCTTCCTTCCCATACTAGTGTTTGTCACATCTTAGAATTTTTTAACTGGCCATTTGATAATGGTTCTTCTGTGTCTACCACTACTTGTTATTGGGCAACCTTATCCATTACCTTCCATTTTTCCCATTCCTGTTGTTGCTTCTTTGTTCGTTAGTTAATTTTCCATAAAAATTCTTTCCAAAGAAACTTCACCGATACAAATCCTTTCTTAAATAAAACTGGTTTATTCTTCCTGAATACAACTTTGCAATACACTTAATTTCAACAGTCGTGGTATAACAAACGCTATAACTCACAATGAACATCTCACATGCCCAACAATATTCTCTCTGTGCCCGCAGTTCAATTACTCATTATTGTTGCCATCACGTTGTGACCATCTTATATACACAAGACTACCCCATATCCAGTAAACGCTAGAGCATTCAGGAAGGTTCGAGAATATGACACGTTACTAGCGTCACATGACCTCCGCTGTTGTAACACTGTAGAGTTTTTCCCTCTCCTGTTCTCTCCCTTTAGGCTTCTTCATCCACCTTGTCCTACACCTCTTTAAGATTGGGACCTCAATGTCATTCTCCATGGACCACACCACACACCTTCATCACTCATTATCTTCATTATGTGGCTATCTTCTCCTTCTTGGGATACCAAATACCACCCATTGCCATTCTATACACCTCAGTTCAACTGTGAGTGGATCAGTATTTTTCTTTATTTACATTACAGTAGCACATTTTACTTGTTGGATCCTGCTTTGTGGCAAGTGGTGTCTGTCCAGGTATATTAATTCATAAGTCTTCACTTTATGGCCATTAAAGTCTATCATGTTCACTGTTTAGATGGTGTGTTCCTCAATACCGATATAGGTTTCCTCGTGGTATCTTGCTTCATAATCAAAGTCTGTACCAGATTTTACCAACTCATGGACTATCATGAGTAAAGCAGTATCGAGACAGCTGCCCACCCTGTTGAATAAATTGGAATCAACCTGCTTTTAAAAATAGAGTTTTGTCGTCACCTATTGCACTTTCTCTAATGTTGTGTTCTTTCGGACTTCCTTACACATTGTTTCCTTTTCCTTGGATTGGAATATGGGAGCCCTTGCCACTTATCAGCATCTAGCCACTCAAGTGGTGGGCTATAGAGGCATTCTCCAGGGTGTGCTCATTTTTGAGAGTAGGGTGGATGTGTTCTGTTAGTGAAGGTGGCGTGAACTCTTCTCCTACCATAGAATGGACAAAACATTCCTGATGTTGCCTGGTTGTGGACTGGAGATGATCCACCACATGCACTTCACCTCTCGGGCTGGGATTCCCCATCTTATCACTGCCTGGATGTTGGTTCCCTGTTGGTCAGGCATTGGATTAGAGTTGCACACTAATAGGGACCTTCATCCTACTGCAGACTGGATGATAAATTCCCAGTGCTGCCAGGTTTTGGACTGGAGTTGACCCACCACCTTGCATATTCCCTTCCTACCATTTCCCAGATGTTGGATTCCCGGGTGGCCTGGTGTTGGTTTTATACTGGGTCTGCACATGTGTCCTGGCTAGGATGGTGGAACAGAAGCTGTTTTCCCTTTTGCTTCCTAGTCTTGATGTGAGAATGGTAGTGACCCTCCTCCTCCCACTGACTGGACAATAAATACTTTATGCTGCCTCGTTTTAGATTAGAGTTGACCCACCAAATATATTTGGACACGCCCTAGCCACTCTACACCATTTGGTGCATCGATGTATGCACTGGATGAGTGTGTGTGTGTCTTTTCAGTCTGGTTTATTGACATATATATTCACAATAGGTGAAGAGTATACCTGGTACAAATGTGGTGCAGTCTCTCACAGATGTGGTCCTCTACATTGAAGTTTCCTACTTCATGGGCTCTCTTCTGATGCTTTCTGAAGGGTGCTCATCAAGGTAAATTTTGAACCAGTCCCTCCACCAGTTCATTGAGGGATTTTAGCTATTATATGAGGTAAGGTAGTGTGTTGGAAGTTATAATTTTCCTCCACTGAAAATGTATTTCCAATTGATGCTTACCTCTTCTTACACTTCCCATCCATTTTCCCAACTTTTGGTGCTTCTTTTTTTGGCTAATCTTAAAGCGAAGATCAGGTTCTACAATATAGAGGGAGTTAGCTGACTAGGAGGGTGTGTTTCATTTCTGTTAGTGGAGGGCTGTCGCATGCCTATTTGCATGCTACAGCACAGCTGTACCAGATGTAAAAATGTGGGGGTAGGTAGAAGTTTCAAGTGGAGATAAGTGTCTATTGGAAATATATTTTTAGTGTACGAAAATTATAACATTTGTAAAAGAAACATGGAATGGATACGGGTACTGCTTAATACAACAGACAAGGGTGCAAAGTATTTACACAGACAATCAATGAAGTTCTGGAGGAGGGTCTAGTAAAAGAACTAAAAGAAATCAGTAGAGACAGTTAACTCCTTTCCATTTCTGGATGTACTGGCTCTAAAGGATAGTGATGATCTGAAACTAAAAACTACTGTTTATCAAAAAGCAACATATACAAACAAATATCTTAACCTTGAATCTTGTCACCCCGTATCTGTTCAAAACAGTGTCGTCAAAGCCTGAGCATGCAGAGCATGTAGAATATGCAGTAACGAATACCTAGAAACAACTTCTACAGCTTCAACAGACTTTTATTAATGATAACTATTCAAAACAATTGGTAAAAAAGACTGTCAAAAACTCTTTAATCAGGAAAATAAGCATAGGATGGTGATACCCTATTTCCAGAACTTGGAGAAAAATGGAATAATGAATACCTTTAACATTCAAACTGTGTTCAAGAGTCCAATTAACTTTTGCAATATCTTAACTAAGGTTAAGTCACAACATCTGATTTCATTGCAAAAAACGTTGTCTACAATGTATCGTGAATGTAAAAAAAGAATACATTGGAGAGACCAAATGTTCTGAGAACATTAGGATGAAAGAACATCAAAGAGACATCACACATGCTTCTGTAGATACTTCAGCCATTGTATTACATGCTAAAAAGGAAAACCACAACATTGACTTCAAGAATATAAAAATAATTGTCAAGGGTTGTAGCATCAGAGCAATCCTTCTCAGTCGTATTAAAATTGACAGGAGAAATGAACAGGAGTAAAGGTACTGGAACATCTGTTCAGAATCAAATTAGAGGATCCTGACTCTAAGGAGTTAAATCCAGTTATTGAGAATTTTTTTACATTGTCATTTAGGCATCCTTCTGCAGTGTCCTCTGGCTCTCATAGAAACTCCCAAAAGAGAAAATCAACAGAAGTCTTACATTTCTATTATAGTTCAGTGATAGATTACAGTAACAAGATATCAAGGGTGCACTCTCATATATTCTAATTGAAAAATTAATCTTCCCTTCAGACTTGTACCAGTTTTATATATATCATAAATGTTGGTATTAAAAGCAGCATTCAGTTTTCTCTAATACTATACAAGTTTTCAGCATTAGGCTGCTGAAATTGAAAAAATTGTTAATTTAAAAAGGGTGAATCATGAAAAAAGTACAGCAACAAGTTGAATCAAAACACACAGATTATTTTCAAGCCTACAATTATGGACTCTCAAAAAAGTAAACAAACAAGGCTGAAAATACTGTTTACATTATTTTATCAATCTACAAATCCCTGTATTGACTCCATGTCTACAGTACTTGTAAATTTTTATTCAACTTGTTTCTGTAATTTTTATGACCCTTATTCATTCTTTCTAAATTTACAATTTTTGCTAATCTTGTTTGTTTAGGTTTTTATGTTCATTTATGGATGATAATT